ACGTGACGTCATGCTAGATCAGGGCTTTATGCCGAGACATGTGCCCTTCTGTTCAGTGTGTGCGTACAGGCGATCTATGATCGCGTGTGCGTGGGATATTGTGAGTTGGCTTGGAAAGCGTTAATCAAGAGAAAGAGAACAACGGAAAGCAACAACAACCTGCTACTGTGGTCGGACAAGAGAGTTCCACACAGCTCAAAGGTGATTGATTCTGAAGGAAGGGGTCAAATACCATTACAGAGGGGGCACCGTGGCATAAAATGGGGGTGCCTTGGCGCAAAAATGGGGGCCAACGTGGTGATACTGTAGAGGGGGCTCCGCAGTGATAAATGGGGGGCACCGTGGTAATATATGGGGGCTCCGCGGAGGAAAAAAGGGGGTACTATGCTGATGTAGGGGGTTCCGTGGATCGTTTTGGTCAAACATGTCGCATTTTCCCAAAATGAGAAAAACTCTGCAGCTATCGACGTAACTCGACGAGGCGGTCACGAATATCGTTGTTTCGCGTTTCAATTTTTTTTCTTTAAAAAGATATCGCACAAAAGGTGAATGGACAAATTGTTGTCCATGGACCGTAGAATATTCCTTGTTCAGATAATTTTTTGCCCTTTGTCGGATTTATACACTGTATTTTCTGTTCACATAAAAACGCTGTACTCGCTGAGTAGATACACTGGGGGTGCCCCGAACACCCGAGGGTGCCCGTTATAGTCGGGGGGAGTGCCCGTTGCGGAGGGGGAGTGTCCCGTAGCCCGGGGAGATGCTCGTTGGAGAACTTTTTCCCGTATCCAGGGGGTGCCCTCTTCTGCCACAAGTCCCCCACCGGTGGGGCACCCACCGGCCGTGGTAGCACCTGAACGAACCCCTTTGGGCTTAACGATGGGTCATACGACAGTCCAGCGCAGTAACGCAGTTGAGCGTGTCCTGTGTCGACGTAGGGCTACGTACAGCAGTGGGTCTTTTGTGTAGCTGAAGGAGAGTCTGCCTGCAAGACAAGGAAGGCAGTGTTCGCTTTTCACGTCAGGTGTTTCGCGCTATGCCGCGGGATTTCCTGACCTGTTCGCCGCCCCAGGTGCTGCCTGCTATTGTGGGCTTTGCGTGCATCGACCACAAACTCCTGCAGGTGCTTGCGAGTGGATTGGAGCCTTGTAGAGGGCGATCCAACTGGTGGGGTCCATAACGATATCTACCCCACCAGTGGGGCAGCGGCGCATGTTCCCCACCAACCGTGGCACCACCAAAACGGTGCCGTTTCGGCCTCACGATGGGTCCAATGATAGCCCTGCAACGCCGCAACATATTCGTTGAAGTCCTGTGCTGATTGGAGTCTTGTAGAGCGAGTTACAGGTGGTGGGGTGTTTAAGCGTTAACCGCCCCACCGGTGGGGTGGTTAAGAAATTACCCCACCGGTGGGGTGTTTAGCCGTGCCGTATCGATTTATATTAGTATGCAACACATGTATGCAAAGCTCTGCAGCCAAAATAGATCGTATGATATACACATACATTCGCAGGGAGGAAGGGGAAGACTCTTACGCGACGATGGTTGGATGTCGGCATCTTTTTTTTTTTTCTTAATATGACACAACGAATCCATCTCTATCATAGAAAATAGTCAGAGACAGATTAGCAATGAATTCATAGCGTCAGAAAGTACCTGTATGTCTACGGTTTCCCAGACAGCATATAGGGACATCTCCCCTGCGGGTAACAGGCTCAACAAGACAGTTTGGTAGCTGTCTTGTGTGTCTCATATATGTCATGTTGGGAAGGTGCAGAAGAAATGTGTTAGGTACTGGTCGGGCGTTTTGTGTGTGGCACCCTTTCAGTCGTAGGGCATGCAATCTCCCTCAGTTTTCAAACGTATTTTCAATGTGGTACGCGTATGTACCGGGTATGTATTGTGCGGACACATTTCGGAGTATGTGCGGACACACGGGAGTGGTCTCACCATTTTCTTACCTTATTGTGTAATTTCGTGTCGTTAGATGTGCAAATGGCACGGGAGAACTTTTTCTCCCTCGAATCTATGGGTTCGGAAAATAAATCGATGTGTGGTCTCATCGTCGCCGACATCTCCATGGATTTCCACCCCAAGGTTATTCTGTCATCGTCAGTGTAAAGAGATTACAAACATCCGGGCGCAGCTTATCCCATGCAATAGCAGACATGCGTTTCTAAACATATCAAGGCCTCTTCTATGATCTTCTCGACGAATCGTTTGTATCCTGCTGTTTATCGGCTCAGGATTCTGCCTCCAGTTCCGCGTGATGCAACAACTTCAACTTGGGCGCTGTTTGTTTTGTTGTTGTATTCACAAACCGTTCCGGTCTCTCTACCCAGTACCTTCATCTGTCCGTAGAGATCAAACTATTGACCAAACCATTCCCGTGGTCACAGGCTAACATACCTAAGAAGACTTCTGCACATGCTTGAATAGAATGGACCCGAAGGGTCCGCAAGCCAATTTAAATCAACGACCGATAGTCTGGGACCCTCCGCTCCCCGTTACGCACGTGCTATGCATATGTGGGACAGAAAAGAACTGGAACTGGACCCCGAGGGATTGACGCGCTCGACAGGTTTACGAAAAATGTGCATGGTTTTGATACTCCACCTTTGCTTGTGTCCAAGACAAACGCGACCGCTATCAATAGTAGCAAGCGGCGCAATCGCCTTCAAAGAACAGTTGATCCTCTCAGCCTCCACAGCAGGTCCTTCACCTTCCCGAAAGCTCAACGAACGGTTTTGTCGAGCCTCTGTGTTCCTGAGCAAGCAAATGAAGGTACCAACCTGACTGTTCAACCGCGGGCGTTGGAGAATCATCGTCTTTCTCTCTCTCCGTGTCCTCTCTGAAATACACTCGTCAACCTCCTTTTCGTGTATTTTTCTCAACTCATACTGGCCGCATTCCCAATGCTCCTGCGAAACATGCCGTCTGCCCTATCCCAACGTACACAAGGCGCCACACACGTGCCTTCATATCATGGTTGTCATATGCTAATATTCGTGCATTCTTAATTGTTTGCCAAAGAGGTAATCCCCCCCATGACAGTCCAGGTTTCACAAATTGTTGACGCGGTTCCCAGGATAGAGAGGAGGAGGATACTGTACTACGGAAACCCCCCCACCCATGGTCAAACTCCACCTTGTCCTCACTACAGATAGCGCCCCCAGTTAAGAAAATTCTTTTAAGAAAAAAAGGCTCAAGTTTTTAAGAAAAATAAGAAAAGAGGGCTAAGAAACATCGCTTAATCCCGGCCACAACGTGAGAAACGCCCCAATAAGAAACATGATGGGGCGATAACCCCATGACATCAGAAATCTTCGGTGCTCCCACCCCCTTCCCTAGCTGAACAGGCGTGCTTTTTTTTTTGTAGATAGTGGTTATTTTCGCGCCCCCCCCCCCCCCCACCCCCCGTTTTTTCCTGGGGTGTGGCGTAATACCGGGAAACATCCCGGAAAACCCCATCCCCCCCCCTGTTTTAACGGTTTTAAGGGCCCCTCCCCCCGCTCCCTTGGGGGGTTGAAGAAATGGAATTGCCCCCAAAAACCAAAAAAAAAAAAATTAAAAAAACAAATACTTTGTAAAGAAAAAAAAAAACCGGAAGAAGCCAAAATCCCAAAGAAAAAAAAAAGGCCTTTTAAAAAAACTACCAATTGGTCCCGGACTTTCACCCCAAAAAAAGGAATAAAGGTCCACCCCAATTTTAACTTTTTTTAATGCGGGGGCCATCTTTAACCAAACCTTTGTGTTTCCCCCAAATGGGGGAACAAACTATATTCACCAAATAAAACAATGAAGGGGTACCAACCCCCGGGAACCCTTTATTCAAGTGGGGACAAAAAAACCCCCAGGGACATGAATATCCGCGGAAAGGGGGCCTTCT